GCAATTAGTCCTTTCTTCTCGTTTTCTTTTAGTTTACTTTCACTGTTACTGTGGCTAAAATAGTTGTTTCAATACGGAATCAAGTACTGTTCCGGCTGATAACATTCCAGTCCTAGTTGAAAATCATTCTCCTCGGAATAGTGGGCTTCTTCAACCAGGGTGTGATCATAAAACAGAGTTCTACCGGAGCTTGCTGAAGAAGTTCGTCTCCTTTATTCACATATCAAACATAACTGAAGCTGTCAGCGGACGTCTGATAATGGATAGTGCCAGAGATGTTAGGAATTGACGCTCATCGGACGCTAGATTGACAATGCCCTTCACCGATATCAAACACGGGCACTGAAAAGACAACCAGTTCCTCCCTGGTTTTGTACGAGACAGGCCCGGGTATTTTCAAGTAACTTAGGATCTCCGAGTTCCCCTAGTTGGCGGCTATTTTCAGGATCACAACATAACTTTTTATTTCCTTTTGAAGCAGTAATTTAAATGCTATCAATACTTGTAGGAAATAAATGAGAATTTAATATTTTGCAGATGTCGTGTAACATTTCATTATGTGATTTCCCCATTCGTGTAGATTTCTCAACTATGTCAAAAATCCTCTTAAACAACATGCAAATAAATAGAGGTATGTCGAAATTTGCCTATTTGGTCGAGGTAATTACTTTCCACATTTACTCCAGAATTATTTTTGTAAAAACCACTTTCGTTTCTAACAATTTATTTCTAAATGTTTTCCACATTTTTTTTTCTTTTTGGTCGTTTCATAATCAGTTTAGGTCTTCCTGAAGATTATTACAGAGAGGTATATCTTCTATAACAACAACTGATAATTGATTTACGACATACTTGATTAGAAATATAAGTGAATACATATATTATAGCAAAAAAACAAACAGAATCAACACGATATATATATATATATATATATATATATATATATATATATATATATATATATATATATATATATATATATATAGAGGGGGTATATGTGTGTGTTAATTCAGTAACCATTATTTCATGTGTTCGCACACAATCTTCAGGCAGCCAATAATATTTACCGATCTTCCCACGAGGTAGAATGTGGCACAAGGCCGAGTTTAATGTGGGGCAAATACGAACCGGTTGGCTCGACTAAAGCTTCCCCGCATAAACGGGGTCCAATCTGTCTAGCTCCCCGGACGAGACAAAAAGCTAAGATCTGAACAGGCGGCCAGTTCCAGCTACTTACCTACCTGATTCTTCAGGTAGCCAGTAGTATTAACCGAGCTCTCCACGAGGTAGGATGTGGCACAAGGCCGAGTTTAAGTGGCTCAAATCCGAACCCGTAAGCTCGGCCATAAATTCCCCGTAGACCCCGCTTAAATGGGGCCGTGTCTGTCTACCTCCCCGGTCGGTGGTCTGCCTTCCGGCATAGCACTGACCGGGTTCCTCTCTGTCAGTTAAGGAGCTGAGCACGCAGCCAGCTCCAGCTGCCTAACTACCTGATCTTCAGGTAGCCAGTAACTTGCAGTAATGAGATGATTACCTTATATAGCACAAGACGAGTACAGCTTGACAAGCAAACCAAACTCGCACAGTGAAGAGAGTAGATCATCCAGCCAAAACAAAACAAAAAAATCAACCTGGAAAGGCTTGTCAGTACAGCAAAAAGGCGCTCAATAACATGAAAAAAATGGACTCATGGTACAGGAGATAAAGCATTAAATTGATTTTCGTTAGAGGCATATTTAGAAAAGAATCACATGGCTTCAACTAGACGCAAACGTGTGCCTTCAACTACAGATAAAATGTATTGTTGATCGTTTTGCTATGAAATGTATTGTTAGTAATTCTAGTATAAAATTGCATTGCATAAATCATTTTGCTGTAAAAATGCTTTGTTGGTAATTTTAATATAAATAAGTATTGTTGGCAATTTTTTTGTAAAAATCTATTTTCATACTTTCATATTTTTGGGTTTTGCTTGAAAGTTTCATATGCATACATGCATGCATGCAGATATATATATATATATATATATATATATATATATATATATATACACACATACATATATATATATATATATATATATATATATATATATATATATATATATATATATATATATATATATAAAATATATATATATATATATATAATTAGAAAAAGAGTCCACGTAGGCTTCATATATTTTATTAAGTAGAATAGATAATTTGTTCTAAACTTCGTATGGTTTATTTAATTTCAGGTAAAAATAAAGACAAAAAATATCCTATATTTTAACAACTTTTTTTATTAAGCTGTTCTTTTCGACTCACGTGAGCCATCTTCAGAGTGGATAAACGGGCATTTAAACAAAGATTTTCAACATCAAAGATGATATTCTGTTATGTTGACACAGAAGAGTGCTCTGTAACGATAACGGTCGCTGAATAGCAGACGTAGGTCGTAAGTTCATGATGCCGTTCTGTGACCTCTTTCTCTCTCTCTCTCGCTCTCTCTCTCCCTCTCTCTCTCTCTCTCTATATATATATATATATATATATATATATATAAAATTTATTGTTAAATCTTTTTTTGTATATGACGTCACTTCTCATTAATATAAATTGTTTCCAGAAAGGTTGATAACGACTCTAGTAGCATCAAACCTACTCACTACTCAGAAAAAGCTAAAAAACAAAAAGAAAAACCGGTTTTGTCCCAGGACTTATCAAGTTTATTTTTTCTGCGAATAGAAATTTTATAAAAGCGTGTAAATTAAATTAACGAATGGAATGGAATTGAAGAGAAAAAAAAATGAATTTCAAGAAACTCGAGACCAATAATTTTCAGACCCAGTAAGCATTCCCTCTATTTACAAAGGGAAAGTTCACGGGGTCTTTGTATATCAGATCCCGTGGACCCTCTTGATTTTTTTTTTTGATTTTTTTCTCTTCAATTCCATTCTATTCGATAATTTAATTTACACGCTTTTATAAATTTTCTATTTCCAGAAAAAATAAACTTGATAAGTCCTGGGACGAAACCGGTTTTTCTTTTTGTTTTTTACCTTTTTCTTTTAAAAATGCCACATAAAATTGGTCTTTTCCTAGCTATTATATATATATATATATATATATATATATAAGGAGGAGAACTGTGAATTCAAAAACTGCAGAGGCTCGTTTGAGGACTTTGTGGCACGTAGTGCACCAGGTCTCTGTATTGGGCACTTTATAATTAAATCATATGTGCTGGTGTCTGGCTGTTGGTTCCTAGGTACTGAGCTGCTCAGATGTCGAAAACATGTACATTTGTGTCTAGTATGTCGCAAAATGTTAACGTGTGTAGCAGTGAATTAACTGATAAGTGTTTCATTTAACAATGGCAGGATATTCATATCGTGAGAAGAGAGATATGATTTTTACATACGGCTGCGCGAATCGTAATGGACGGAACACATTATCAGATTGAGTTTCCAGACCGAAGTCAGCCGAGTCATCCAAACTTTACTGCTGTTTATCGTCGCGTTGTTAAGGCAGGATCCGTAACACCACAAACTATGAATGAAGGAAAAACCAGCCTGACCAGGAAAAACGATCCGGGAGCAGCACACGCCAAACATTGAAGACAGACGAGTCTCAAAAATACACGAATGAAAAATGTAACTTAATCTCTATGTTAACACAGCACCATCTACCGTAATCTTTCTTTAAACTTAATAACCCAAAAACAACGGATTTGTGGACATATATTTATATGGATTTTCGTCTTTGTTTTGGTATGCGGACCACCCCAAAATTTGTAAAAATATTTTTGATTCACCTTCTATATAAAGGCTATTCCAATAACCTCGAACGATTTTAAATGTGAATTAAGTTTAAGCGTTTTTATGATTTTTTATTTTTCTTTTTCTTTCAGATTTAACAACTTAAATCTTTGGAAACTTCAACCATGTAAATATTAACAATCAACTGGAAAAATTGTTCGTAAATTAAAACAAACTGGGTCGATGGCAGATGAGAAAACACCATTGCGTGCTCGTTTACGCTGTTTAGCTGAAAACATGGCTGCAATGCAGGAGAATGTGGCCAAACATCCAGTGACTTCTATTCGTCACCGTTCGCAGGATTTGAACCACTCCCCGACAACGACGCTACATCGTTTCCATTTGCATTCTCAACCCCAAAAATCGCGAGAGGCATTTCTTTTTGAATTGTCATTATCGTAATAGGCTTCGATAACGTTGACACGTTGTCTGATTGTTAATCTTTCCATGGTTGAAATTGCCAAAGACTTAAGTTGTTAAATCTGAAAGAAAAAGAAAAAAAATCATTAGACACTTAAACTTCATTCACATTTAAAATCGGTTCAAGTTATTGGAACGCCCTATATAAAATCTGAAAAAGAGAGTGAGAAAGATATATATATATATATATATATATATATATATATATATATATAGAGAGAGAGAGAGAGAGAGAGTGAGAGAGAAAGATGTTGCTTTATTCAATGATCACAGTTATCCCATGCAGTTCTTATTTTTTAAATCTTATTTTTGTATTCGTTGAAAGAAATGTTATCACTAACTTGGAGATAGTCTGACTGTATTTCGTAACATAATAAGTCATAGAGTTATACTTTTAATCAACTCAAAGTTACGAGAAACGTAACTAACTTAAAAAAAAAACTGATGACAAAGTCATTAGACCTCATGTTGAATTCTAATAATGAATTTTATGACTGCGTACCCACGGAAACCGCCCGTGATGACGAAACGATAACCGTAAACGAAGATACAGTCTTCAAAAGGAAAGAAATTGTTGAAACTTAAAAGGTTTTCTGAAAGCGCACACAGATTTGCATTTAAGAAGCAGAAGAAATCTATAGGAAAGGGAAAAGATTTCTTTCTATAATGTGGTATCGTGCTGTTCCTACTTACTGTATGATATGGGCCCCACTAAGTCGATATGCATTTGCGAATGCAGTACCGGACCTGGATAAGTACTCGAAATATTATTATATATCTAGAGAGAGAGAGAGAGAGAGAAAGAAAGAGCTAGATGAATAGATAGATATGAATATGGATAGATGAAATCTGTCTATATATATATATACATGTGTGTGTGTATATATATATATATATATATATATATATATATATATATATATATAGCAAAGAGAGAGAGAAATAGAGACAAACAGACAGAGACAAAGATACAGAGAGAGAGAGAGCAAAAAAAAGGTAGAAATACTTGAATATATATATATATATATATATATATATATATATATATATATATATATATATATATGTGTGTGTGTATTATAAATTAATTGGTTTTAAAATATGTTTTTTCCGCTACACAGATATGGTTAGAATATGGTTAGAACTGTGTAGCGGAAAAACATATTTTAAATCAATTAATTATAATATTAATGCTCTATAAATTTACATTGAGCACTATTTTGTGAAAATAAAAATATCTATAAGAACACCGGATTATATATCTTACTGTTCTTTTTTTTTTTATTTATATATATATATATATATATATATATATATATATATAGATAGATAGATAGATAGATAGATAGATAGATAGATAGGAAGAGTCTGAGATGAAGAGATTAAGACCGATATGAACAGTCTGAGATAGATAGATAGATAGATAGATAGATAGATAGATAGATATGAACAGACAAAGATAGATAGATAGATAGATAGATAGATAGATAGATAGATAGATAGATAGATAGATAGATAGATAGATAGATTTGTTCATGCTTTAGAAATATAGCATTCTCCGCGTTCAAAAAATGGAGATGCATAAGAAATTCCAATATCACTGATATATCTGCCATGTCACTCAACGAGTGCTACTGGTACCAGTCAACTCAACACGATCTGCCATAATATACAGGTTCTCCCACCAGGCTTTTTTTTATCTGGAGCGCGAAATGGCTAATCACCTACAATGTTTAAAAGGAGACCACCCTTAAGGTAGAGTTGACTACCATTTAGCAAAATAGGGTAGACTTGGCACCTTGTTTATAAACGCAGTCAAGTCGACGCCCAGAGGATGAGGTTTCTAATGATGGAATCAGCAGCCATGTGCCTGTTATCAAGGTGAGGCTTCAAATTGGAGGGCATCTTCTATAGTTTGATTTGGAGATTGGCTTGGCTCCTCAGTTCCTTTTGTCATGCTACCCATCTCCGGCTTTCAAATTAAATACAGGCAGTGCTGTAAATTGGTCATGGGTTCAGATGCGCAGTAAGCCTATGATCCACGCGCGCTAATGGGACTGATGGTCATTCTGATTTTAATGTAGACTCACTTTGATTATTTTTCAAGATAATGTAATAATAGTAGATGGTAGAAATTTAACATAGAAAATCGAAGATCCAGAGTGCAACAGTCACGGCGATTACAGTCGTTTTACCTCACTAAGGCGTATTCGTTGTTGAAAAAAGAAATGAAAGCCGTTAGAAATAGGAATATACAAAATTATATATATATATATATATATATATATATATATATATATATATATATATATATATATATTCATACAATTGGAATTGAGATGTCATTATATAAATTATACTTTTCACCTTCTAAATCCAATACATTTTAGAAGGTGAAAATGATCATTATGCAAATTGTTATCTTAATTTCAATTGCATGAAATATATTGCTGTGTTAATTAAAAACATTGAACTCTATGCGTCAGTCAGTTTTAATACTTAATATTTTACATTGTGTTAATAGTATTCACTTGGAGTATATACCAACAGATTATCATATATATATATATATATATATATATATATATATATATATATATATATATATATAGGTGGCCCTAAAAACAGGAACTATTTGACAATCCAATAATACCAAGAGTGATGGAAGAAAAATATTTTATTCATAGTAATTGCAACGTTTATACATGCCATTTAAGAAACAATGATGGAATTTTATTTTTTTAAAATTATGTCCTGTAGATGGCGTCCTCCTGTACGAATGCATTCTTGAAATCTGCTGTTGAGATTCCTTATTGACTGCTGCAACATCTCAGCTGGGATACTGTGAATTTCATCTTGAATTATAAATGGCGAAATGTTTACTTGCTCAAGGTTACTGTCTCGCAGTGTTGCCACTTGCTCATGTCTGGCAATACGCACTTCAAAAATTCACGTTTTTTGGTCAGCCTGTACATACATATATATATATTTAATGAAACGTATATATATATATATATATATATATATATACACACACACACACACATATATATATATATATATATCTGTGTGCGAGTGTGTGTGTTTAATTTTGTATTTGGTCAGCAATCCTTGTTTACACACGTTTCATTAAAACGACTGATAAGTTACTGTGGTTATATATTTTTATTTACTTTACTTTTTGGCTGAAGATTTCGTTAAATCATGAAACAGAAAGTCGATATACTTTCATATATATATATATATATATATATTAGCAGATTCATTTACTGAAAAGATAAATTTTTACAAAAAAGTATGAGTTTAAAATTTTAGTTAAAGATTTATAAGTGGTATTCATTTATCACGTTCAATCCTGTCGAAGTTCATAAAAGTCGCTGTTTGAAGACTTCTGACATATATATATATATATATATATATATAGATATATATATATATATATATATATATATATATATATATATATATACTTTCATCGATTTCTTCGACGAAAAAGTCATATCGAAGTAATGTAAAAATAGCAAATAAACTCGGCTTTTAAAAAACTATAGACGTATTGGCAAGTAAGGAATGTTTTTTTAAAGTATGAAATGTTTATAAATCTAAAAATGACACCTTTAAAAAAATCTTCATTCTCTTGCATTTTTTTTCTGTAAGGCATTCACATCTATAAATATGCAGATGCAGTAAGTTTTGTCTCGGAAATTCCGAGTTAAGTAATAAGCGACAGTTTTGACAACTTTGAATTCTTTCTTAAAATTACAATATATGAAAGAAATGTTTTGAATGAACATTAAACGATATACGCAGTTCTAAAAAATGGCGATCCTTTCTTTATATAAATCCTTAATGAAAATTGATATAACTAGACAGACTGATCTATCTACTCACAGCCGTATATGAAGGCGTATGTATATCTAGCAAGGGGCTACATAAACCCTTAAAAATTTTGTCAAGAAAACGATACCGCGCATAAATAGAATACAGGTAGAAATTTTGTGCCATAAAATAGTATTAAGTAATAAGGGTCGATCCATGCCTTTTCTTAATGAGCGGGTCCAATTCTAAATCTCTACGTTTTGAAAAAAGAAATGTCTAATGTTTCGACCGGAAGAAGAGCGCTCTGACTCAACATATAGGCGAAGGAAAACAGAAGTGAGAGATTATTTTTGAAAATATGTGTGTTTAAAAGGAATAAACCACATGCTAAAATTTATATCAGCTACATCCAACCATCTGTGTTTACTGCTGGTATTGTAAAATAAACTTATTATATATATATATATATATATATATATATATATATATATATATATATATATATATATATATATATATATTCAGAAAATATGAATAAATGTACGTGCATACGTTCACAAAAACACACACACATATATATGTATATCTTTGTTGCAAATAAAAGTGTCCAATGCAAAATAACACAGTTATTAAGTATATGTTAAAATATACATAATACCCGACGCCGACATTACACAATTAGCAAATCCAACTAAAACCGCAAAACCTATAAATTTTAACCAGATAAGCCCAGTTCACTTAAACCTAATGATTGCTTAGTGTATGAAACCCTGAGTCGTACTGACGGCGTGGGACATATATATATATATATATATATATATATATATATATATATATATATATATATATATATATATATATATATATATATAGTAATACTCAGTTGGAAAGGCTTTCCTTGATGATCCGTTTAGGTGAAACCTAGGTAGGTTTTCCTGGCTTTTAAGATTTATTTTATATATATATATATATTAATATAAATGTCAACAGGAAAACTGTAATAGCAGTCACGAGTTTAGTCCAATGTGGACTTTCTCAAGACAAAAAAAGAAACGAATTTATATAAACAAAATAACTAATAATAAAAAAAAAAACATTGGTGGAAACGCGTCGGCAACTATTACATTTTTCCTCTTGTAATTTATATTTATATAATATTGTCTTTTCTACAGGTTAACTGTCAGAAATTTTCATATATATATATATATATATATATATATATATTTGTGTGTTTGTGTGTGTGAGCGCCTATGCGTGAGGACCAGATGTAAATTATTTATACATATAATATAGTTCATTTTTATTAAACCTCCTCAGAGAATGAGATATGGATGAAAAGATGGAGGAAATTCAGAGATTTTATTTCTCTCTTCTTCGTCTTTCATTGGCCAACCGTATTTCACGTGCATTCAACTGAATGTATGGCGAGACGTCGTGACCTTTATAGCTCCAACAATTTAACATAGTTAACTAACTGGAAAACCGTAAATAGTCATGTATATATGCAAGTATGTAATAAATCTACTTATACTCATAATGTATATTTATAAGTGTGTGTGTGTGTGCGTGCGCTCGTGTATAGTAAATATATTGAGTTACTTTTTTGGCATGTTGATTTGGGAACATTTTTAGGAAAAGACCGTTTGTTTCAGATAGACATACATTAGAATCTTATGTAACAGCTCTAAGTATTAAATATCCCCCCTCAAAATCACTGGGGACAAAGATATGTTTGCATATTTTATGTTCTTTTTTTTTTACTTGATATGTGGGAGCACAATGATTTTTGGGGGAAAAATAGATCTCAGCCACGCTACTTGTCACTTGTAGGATGAGGAAGAAGCAAGAAATATATTCAGCATATACCATGACTAAAGGATTGGCGATTCTCTCACTAAGGACATTAGTATCCGCTGCATTTGCATTCAAACCCAGTTCAGAAAAATAATATTGGATATCATACATGATATATTATATAAATGGTATAGTTTTAGGTATTTCGGCTTGTAGTCGAACAAACCAGTACCCAAGGAAAAATGAGGAATAAAAAAATGAAAGAACCAAGAACATGAAACTGAGGCGAAAACAATCGTCCAGTGTTCAAGGTCAAAGTCCAAAAGAAAATAAACCTCCAATCCGAGTAAAAAGGTAACTACGTAAATTGCTCAATCCACGAAGTAGAGCAAAACATAATATATATATATATATATATATATATATATATATATATATATATATATATATATATATATATGCATGTTTCATTAAAAACGACAGACAAGGTACTACGGTTGAGCTTTTTATTTAAATTTTCTTGTGTTCTGACAAGAGCTTTCTTTTCTGGACAAAGAGTGTGTAAGAACTGTCCGAATGTTCTGTATTTCCGAGCGCTTTTCGCTTGTCTGTCGTTTTAATGACACATGCATAAAGGAAGAATTTCTGCCTAAATATACATATATATATATATATATATATATATATATATATATATATATATATATATATAAAAGAAAAATGAAAAGCGTTGGTAGAACCAAAGACAACATGCCAAAATACCTAAATACTCTTAAACAAGATTAATTCTCGAACAAATACGGCAATAAGAAAAAACAAAAAGATGAAATGGAATAATGAAATGTATAAATGTATAAACATAAAAATGTGTTAAAATAATTGTCGTACTTTATCCATTTCATAATGTGTGACGTCATTTTCTTACATTTGGATACACATCAAGCAGATATGAATGTACGTGAGAAAATCTTGAAAAATTTGAAAGCATTAAAATCAACCTTGTTAACCGAAACGCTCCTCTGTAGCGAAATCAGTAAAAGCACGTCAGGCTATATGACGGTTCTGTATAAGATACAGGTTCGATTCCTGTCGGGGGACGCATATTTTCTATGACAATTTCTCGGACATTCAGGCCGGTAAATGTTGTTAATACTGTTTATTATAAACAGAACATTTCATTTACTTAAATATTTGTATCTATAAAAAAAGAATGCGTAAACATAAAAAATGTTCTAAAATAATTATCCGGCTTTGTTCATTTCATAATATATATATATAGAGAGAGAATAGAAGATCAAGTATGGGTAAGAATACAAGAAATGACAAGATAAAATGCAAGTAGGGGATAGATATCAATCTAATAACATGTTTCACTTTAGTAAAGCTTCCTCAGATATCTAGATAGAAATGATAAAAACCAAAGAGATGAAAATATTTTTTATTGGTTAGACACGTGTCACGTGTCTAACAAATAATAACACGTGTCACGTGTAACAATTAATATTCATATATGTGTTTGTTTTTCATCATTTATATCATTAAAACATATAGGTTCAACAAAACTATTAAGTAACTATTTTAAAAAAAGGTAAGAAATCTTTGTCTAGATTAATAGATTACAACCGCACTATATCCACGCTATATGTCGTACAGTAGAAACACAAACACAGCATATCCACTTTGTGTCTGGAATAACAGTGCACCCCAAAATTTCACTAGAGCCATCACTAAATTTCTTACCCTGTTCCTAGGTACCATTAGTCCAACACATATCAAATATTTTGGTGACTTACTCCAAAGAATGCAACAGATAAACATTAGTAACATCTTTATGGCTAGTCTAGGCAGGAAATCACTATACACCAATATACTCATCACTAAATGCCATAATATACCAAGAAATCACCTCAATAAAACCAAGGAGAAGCTTCCTCTACCACGTGCTGTGTATGGCGATAAACGACGTCCGCTTCCAGGGCAAGACGATAAATAACGTCCAACAGCCATGCCTCTGATCAAATGGTTTTGAAGAGCGTGGAACCACCTCTTCTTAATTGCTGGTGTTCCTGGGTCCAACCTGACCACGGACAAATAGTTAACACCAAAACTGTGGTTAAAAGACTATGATAGTGTAAAAATAGGTTTTAATAACAGATATACTTGTAAAAAAAAATATTACCAGCAATACTTTTGTAAAAATGAAATATTACCAAATATACATTATTGAAAAAAAATATTACCAGCTATACATTTCTGAAGAAAAAAATATTACCAGCAATAAAAATTCTGTCGACATTAAATAACCCATTGAGGTTGATATGCATAAAACAAACAAACAAACAAACAAACAAACAAACAAACAAAACAATGAGCTACTTCTACCCGTGCAAAAATCATAAAAATTATGTAAATTAATCACCAAACTGTTTCTTTTTCTTTCAATAACATATTCTACAAACAAAAATTCGATTTATTTATCAGTGGTGTTCTAGCTTGCCTCTTTCTTGAATTCTTAGAATCCCCACCCCGTTTAAAAATATCATAAGTAATGGCTCTACTTACCTGAGGTACATTTTAACCACAAGATTCTTATCTTTCAAACGTAGTAAGGCTGAACCAACCATCGAATTCACACATGAATTTTAAACAAATAACTTTCTACCTTTTCTCGATATCCTATTAATAAGTAACGATAATAAATTAGAATTTAAAATTTACCGAATATCCACGAATAAAAATAAGCTTATCAATTTCTATTCCCATAACATCCGGAGAATAAAATACGAAATAATTATTGGATTTTACCTTAGAGTCCTTAGGATATGTAGCCATGGATACATTAATGACGAAAGGATTATATTCAGAATATATTAAACTTCTACACTACCCATACCATTTCATCTTAAACTAAAAAAAAAAACAAATACTTCCAACAAAAAATCATAAAAAAAATCATAATCCTACTCTCCAACAATTTAACAAAACTTGCAAATGAATTAATCATGCCCGACACGAGGTTCGTTGCCATCACCTCCAAGACTATCGGAGATGTAATCAAGATGAAAAAAAAAAAAAAAAAAAAAAAACAGTTTAAATGCGGGAGTTTATCAAATCAAATTTCTACAGTTCAATAACATGTACATTTGGTAGACATCACGTGATATAAAAACACGTATCCAGAAGCAGGAAAGAAACATGAGATTATTTAGATATTAAAACTCTCCTGACCTACATCGCAACGACGTCGGACAGAACTTTAATTTCACAAATTCCAGCCTTATTTAAAAAAAAAATAGCTAAATCTTTAAGGAGAAAATCTTATAAAAGTATATTCATACGAATACTACAAACTATCAAGACACGTTTAAAAACTACCTGACTTCACAATTTTTCCTACAGATCTATTATTCACGTTGCTACTTTATTTATTTCTAAGACATAAAAATCAATGAAGATATATACAAAATAAACAGGTGATATGGTTTAATGAAAAATCAAACGAAAATATGTTTTTCAAAACATCCTGCCGTGTCTCAGGTTTACACACATATTTCAGTTGCTTCATTACACGTATCTAACCAAAGACAACAACTGCGTCTCTTTGCTTTTTATCGTATTTTATCTATCTTCATCACTGATGAAGTTTTAATAAAGTGAAATATTTTAGACTGAAATCTGTTTCCTACTTATTCTTTGTTTATCATATCATATATATATATATATATATATATATATATATATATATATATATATATATATATACATACTTTATATATATGTCTATATTTCTGAGATGAGGTATTATGTACATTATTTACATTATTCGGACTATTGTACTCATCTTTGTCGCCATATTTATCACAACGTTTCGGCCATTGTATGCTCCGGCCTCCTTCAGGTGGTTGGAATTTAGAACTGAACCCATTATTTCGCTCACTGGGGTAGACTGTTCTAGTTCCACGTGCCATGTTTGATGGATGTCAGTTATCAGTTATCTCCTGCTAATTTCCCTCTGAAAGTTCTCCACTGCCTTAACCGGGCATTGAACTCACACTCTTTGGGTCCTGTCACTGGATCTAAGCAACGTTTTACCCACTGTGCCATACACATGGCACAGTAGGATTATTACGTATTGAATTGTAAGTTTTTTATATATATATATATATATATATATATATATATATATATATATATATATATATATATATATATATATATATATATATATATATATATATATATATATATATGTGAAGAAATATAGTTCTAAGGTATGCAATATTTATGGGATAAAGTACACAATATCAGAGTTAGAGCGTATGTAAATATTCAGATGTGGCTGTTTCATGCTGAACTTATTCTTCTGGTTACTTGTCGCCTCTGAATGTTGACTTCAATGTTCATAGATATATATATATATATATATATATATATATATATATATATATATGCGTGTGTGTGTCTGTGTGTGTTTGTGTGTTTGCAAGTGTACATATGAGAAAGAGTGTACGTGTGTGCTTTCATTTGCATTATCTGATGGAAACTGTTCTCGATGTACATTCTCCTAAAAATTTGAATCTAAATACAGTTACGAAAACAGACATTAAGTTTAAATAAACAACATCAAATTTCTGTAGCACGAGAATAGAATACATAAGTGGGTTTGTTGAAAATTTCTTGCCAATTTCAGGTCATATGAGTACAATAAGTTTTTGGGAAAGTATTTCTTGGTGGAATCAAAAGATTTTAAGCACCTACTTGGATTATTGGGAAAGAAAGAAAGAAAAAAGAAAAAAAAAGAAAGAAAGAAAGTACACGGGTCCAAACAGGCCTGATAAGTCTGAACATATATATATATAAAGAAAGAAAGAAAGAAAGAAAGAGGGTTAGAGAGACAGCCAGTAAGAAAGAAAGAGGGTTAGAGAGACAGCCAGTAAGAAAGAAAGAAAGAAAGAAAGAAAGAAAGAAAGAAATCAAGGAAAATGAGGTTTGAACAAACGGAACTGAAAAGTTTAAATATATCTGAAGAAAGTAAAGCAGGAATAAAGAATGAAAATAAATAAATAAATGAATAAAGAAAGAAAGAAACTGTAGCAAATAGATCCGAAAAGACTGAATATAAATGAAGATAGATAGATAGATAGATAGATAGATAGATAGATAGATAAATAGATAGATAGATAGATCTTGCCTAGTGGCTGATATGAATCTTGAATTCACACTGGTTAAATATAGTCGTTTTTGGGAAATGAGCTTTAATCCAGGCCATATATTGACATTGCCATATAATAACCTGTAAGGAACCCCTTTTAGATGAACATGAATATAGATGCTTAATCATCTCCGCTCAACAAAGAATTAATAGAAGCGTAATCTGGTCTTTCTTGAGTTGGGTGACATCCAGTCTAGAGAAATGCCAGTCCTGAATACAAAACTGTGGAGAAGGCAGCGGGAAACGAATCTATTATCCCCGCAAGAAGTCATGCCACTTCATAGATCATAAAGTAATGTATAGAGTGTCGACCTGTGAAGGGACGTGGTATTTGAAAATGTCCCAGTAAATGTTTAGTCTGACAGCAACATTCGCCATGGTGTTCTCGCTAATTTTGTTAGCACTATTATGATGGCTTTTTATTATAATTGTCTGGTAGAATATAGTTATGGGACAGTGCTTCTCATTATGTTTCATTTCTCGACTCTATCCTCTGATGACGATCATTATTAACCGATGAATATGTATCTGGTGAAATGGGAGAACTAGTATCATATCTTTCTCCAGGACATTAAATTTAATTGCACCGCGGGGATTTCAACTATTGTGTCGTCAAGCGATATTGATATGAGGTCGTAAATGTTTTCTTATATCACTGCAGTAAGTTACGTTATTAGGAGGCCATAAAGTATATATATATGACTACTTCGAGGTTTGACCGATTAGTATGGTGTAAATATTTGACTTTAACCCTTCAAGTCAATGGTATAATCACAAGCAACTCTTGCTATAATGTATGCAGAAAAATATAATTAAAAAAAATTAAACTTTGATTCAGTAATGCCTATTTCATTCCAATCTCAGTTAGAAGGTCAGATACTATTTCACACAATGAAATTATGCCAATTGCATAATAAATGCCGGTGTTGTTTGCACAACAGATAAAATGAACATTTGGGAAAATACTTGAACCGTGGTAAGAAGTGAAAACATTTTGTAAAATGATCAGGGTACTTTTCATTTTTATCGACGAGCTTTGAATCGTACAAAAATATCATGCCATATATGCAACGAGATTCAGATGTTCACTTGAAAATTTTTGCAAATATTTAAATAAATACATTTAATATTTTAAATTAATACATTAATTCAAATTAAAAAAAAAAGATGCCAATCATTTCCAGTAAATAGATTTTGATTCTGTTTAGATAATGGTTAGTAATAATAATAATAATAATAATAATAATCAATAACTTATAAGGAAATAATCGATCAGTGTTACACGAGTTACGATTTTCTTATCTCTATGGCCATCAGGCTTTGATGAAAGTGTAGTATTTGTTCTCCACATTTCTCGTAGTAATATTAACCGTTTCCTTATAAAGAAACATTTCCCATTCACTCGATGAGCATCTAGTGTGATTGGAGTAACGATTTTCTTTGTTCATTGACCATCAGAATGTAGCATTTGTAATCTTCATCTTTATCGTACTGGTAATATTAGTAATTCTCTTATGAGGAAACATTCGACATTCATTTCCGAGCAGCCAGTGCTACTCGAGATACGATATCCTTCACTCGATGACTATTGGTCTGGTATCAAAATGCATCATTTGTTTTTTTCATCTCTAATCGTAATAATAAAGAATGCGGAAACTTTCATTGACCGAGCAGCCAGTGCCACAAGAGTTAGGTTTATTTTCATTACCTTGCCATTGTGCTGAGATAAATATACCCTTATCATATTTGGGAATATTAACTAACTCCTCATAAGGAAAAAGTTGGCATTTATTGACTGTGCAACTAGTGCTACATTTGGTTGAAATTTATAAAATCTTTTAATTAAAACAATTTTTAAACAAAATAGTTTTACCAAGTGCTTAACGGTTACTACATGTGGAATCCATTTCAATTATCGCTTCTGTAGAAATTCCTCAAGTAATGTAGTTTCTGTTATTTTGGTACAGTTCTTCAATTGTAATTCTGGGGCAATCGTACAAAAGATTCCAAGAAGAATGGTCGTCACTATTGCCGCCATGTTTCATTCGCTCGAAGCCATTTTACATCATTGATCTGAAAAAGGGATTTTATACAGCTGTTCATTTAGCAGTAACAGAACAGTAGACAAGAATTCGTTTAATTTTGAACTGCTGATCTCCACTTCATTTACATTTTAATCAGCTAGGCTAAACGTGTTCAGTTACATCTAAAACTTATTCTTATAAGTTTAGAGACTCTTTTTCAGATGTTATTATATAATATATGATTTACACAATGAAAACTATATTAAGAAAATTTTAATGTTGACTAAAATATGATTATATTTACATTATCTACATATTGTGCATAGTTCAACTTCTAAAATCATCCCATATTACAAATTGTTAGTTTCAATCAAGTTGAAATGACTGCAAAAAAATATCCTCTCCCCAGATATATAAACAAACCGTATAAATGCATAGTTGGATTTTTTTCCTAGTCAACAAAATAGACCACTTCTCAATATGACCGGCCATATTTTTTCTTATAACTTGTCTTGAAGTCAAAACGCAGCAATTAATTGTTTGTATCACATTAATGCATTAACATCATTCTTACTCTGTGAAACTTTTTGCCTTATTACAGTTGCTATGACTACATTTGTCTTGCACACACACACACACACACACACACACACACACACACACACATATATATATATATATATATGTATATATTAATTGCATAAGACCTAATACCATTTATAAGTTAAAAAAAACAAGGATCATAACATTCATCGCATGATTGTTGGGTTACTGCATCTTTAAATTTAGATAGCGAAAGGATTTCAACATTTTACATTTTAAACATGACGAATTTATGTTTTGCATGAATGATTCATTGTATTATAAATTAAACCGCCAAACACATTTGATATATATATATATATATATATATATATATATATATATATATATATATATATAAATAAATCAAAAAAATCTAAACATCTATTTCGGTTATCATTTATTTCGTGAATATTGTTATATTCATCTATTAAGACCGAATGTTCTTAATTAATGGAGGATCTTTAAGGTTTTTTCTTGATTTATTATAATAGTAATATTCTGCAATTTACATTGAGTTCTCTTTTGAGTAATATCTTCCTACCAATCACAAATTGATACTATATATATATATATATATATATATATATATATATATATGTGTGTGTGTGTGTGTGTGTGTGTGTGTGTGTGTGTGTGTGTTTGTGTGTGATACGTGGGTAGTGCAGTGATTAAGAACTCGGAAAGAAACATGTTCGAAATCGCATCTTTGATCATTACTTTCACTGTCAAACAAGGAAACATATGAACCACATCTTCTCCCCAGGCCGTCTTCATAATAATAATAAGAAGAAGATGAAGAAATTAATATTAGCATAAAAGCCGACTCATTGCAATGAGTATTTGAAAAGTCTAGGAACCATTATAATACAAAAGGATAAATAAAATATCTATCTTTATGTTTAACTATGCACATAAAAGCGTATGTACACCTTGAGTTTGGCCGCTACGCGTGACGTTATCTTTAAATAATTTAAATAGCAAAATTACAATCATCAGAATTTGTCACGTTTGATAAACGGACTGATCAGTCTCTGTTCTTGATAACGACTCGAGTGACAGTCTAAAGTACTTAAATATATAAACATAAACTTTGGACAGTGTAAAATTTGAAGTCAGGCGTAAAATACCTCAGTCGGAAATGTTAACTAGGTAAACATTGTCGGTGCTATTTAATTAAAAAGAATGTTTCGAGGAATGCGATTTATTAAAATACAACTTGCCAGATCACATCCACAAATAAAATATATATATATATATATATATATATATTATCGTATATTGCACAAATATCGACTCTAAATGAAAGCTTAGACCTACAACAAAAAAAACGGGATTTTTCTTTTGTGTCGACAACTCCACAGACATGGCGGAATAGCTTCTTTATCATCAACCAATCGTAAGACGACCTTAGATTATTATCACCTCGTTCTGGTTTTATTGAGACTATCTTTTTCAAGATGATAGTCTTAAACTCTTGCTCAAATATAGGTGTTACTGATATAATTAAATTCGTTTCCTCCACAGAAACGCAAATACAATTTAAAATGAATTTTTAAAAATGAAAAAATTTTTGAAGCATTTCTTTTCGTTTTAATATCAAGCTAACAGATTAAACTAAATATTTCCAATAAGCAAAATATTTTGTTGTATTTCAAAAAATAATTTAAATTAACGGAAGGTGTTTTCATTATGAAATTGCTAAAGATTGCTGATATTAGTAACATTTGTAGCCATGTGTCTTCACAGTGTATTTCTATTTATAAAAAAAAATCAAAAATCAAATATAATTTTCGGAAACTTTATTTGAGGACTATTATTTAAAGTTTAATTAACCTGATTTAAAACAAATATTACTTACTTTTAGCTGAAAATATCGCACCTAGGCATTAATACATATTCTCCAAAGTCTAACGTTGAATTTTAGGTACATTGTCGATGAATTTACTGAAGTTATTGTTCTTATTTTCTAATAATCTCGTATATAGATGCCAGTATTTAGAAGATAGGCACATTTATATACACACAACAAAAATTCAAAATTATTTTTTATAATATTTTGGCTCACTGAATTTCAATGACCTTTTCCATTTATGATTAGTCCATATAGTTTCTATTTAATAAAAAATATTACAGAAATTAAAAAAAAATTAAACTTGTCTCAATATTCTGCATGTCTGTGTGCTTTCGGCCGTTCTTTTAGACATTATCAACTACCTTTTTAATTTTTCTTATTTTTAACTGAATGTATGAATTTTTATGTATATATCGAGAGTAATACATTTTCTTTTCAAGACATGTTCAGCACATTGTGGCCGTGTTCATAGTTGATATTACTGAGTCCTGTTTTTTTATATTAATAATGTTTACATTATTTGAGCCATATTTACACGTAGATGAGGCTGTTATACTTGTATTTTCGACGTGGTTAGAGTGTGGTATGTTTCCATGTGTGTTTAAATGAGTCCTAATTAAGCTATGGTTTCAAGGTGTAGCAAGAATCTGCTTCATAGGCATATAGAAGTATATCCAATGTAGTCATTACTGAACTTAGTTTGATCAGGAACACCTATCATTAAGGTACATGTGAAATTGTGAATAATATTAGTTCACTGTAATTTAGATCTTGCAGATGAGTTTTTAGTGTTGTTGACGATAAGGTTAGAGGTTTACTTTTTTTTTTATAGTAGATAATTTATTTGAAATGTTGCTAATGGAAAATTCATCCTGCTTATAGTTACCGTGTATTTGATTTTTTTCATAGAAAATATTAATGTTATTGTTTTTTTTTATCTGTATGTTCAGTGTTGCTATTGGCTACCTTACAAAGAAAAGGGTCTAATTTCGTGATCTCTGAAATAATTCTGAAAACCGTTATTAACGAACGTCTGTTTAACGTTGTTGAGTTCTTTAAAGAAAAGCGGACGAGAGGATGAATTCTTGTATGCTCACTTGAAGATTTTTTATGACATCTATTTCATCGCGAAGAGGGCATTCAATAGCAAAATTAAGGTGGCAAGAATTTTTACTTTTTTTTGTATAACGGAGTGGTGAATGTTTTATTACTAAATTCAACTATGAACAAGCCAACAATGTGCTAACCGTGTTTGAAAAAAAATCCTACCGCTCTCGATACATACATTAAAAATCGATACAATAAAAGACAGGAAGCCTGGAAAACAACGTCTTCACACATGCCGAAAAAAACAGAAGAAGAGAGAGAGAGAGAGAGAAATAAATAAAATCCTTTCTTCAGAATGTCTGCTGTAGTGTAAATGTTAAGAGCGTTGTTTTTTAGGTAATTTCAAAATAAAGCAGTAATGTTAACTATCATATAATTGCAATATTTGATACTTGAAACTAAATTTATTTACAAGGATAGAGGGGTTGGTTAATTTGACACTCACGCGTATGTGAAAGAGGAAGTTGATATGTTAGGATATACTTATTCTATATGTCAGGGTCGTTTCAGGACGTTGACTATCATGGCTCTCCTATCTTTAATAAATGTTGTTTTCTCGTTATCTCTCTTAAACCTTTCCTCACTATTCATTTACTCAAGCTCGCTTGGTAGGTTATACTTTGCATTCCTCTGGCCCTTTTGTCTTCAATCTCTCTTGTGAGTATCACATTTTCTAAGTCCTCTTTCCTCATTATGTGTCGTAGATATTTCAACTGTCTCTTCCTGATGTTAGATAAAAGTATCCTTTTTGTTGTCCTTGTTTCTAGACCTTCGTCGTGGCTCACATATTTGGTCCTTGATATTCTCAGCATCCTTCATTTCTACTTAAATATTTTAAACATCTACTAATAATAACAAAAAAAAAATTAAAATAGCGTAATACACATGTTCAGGAAATTAGATTCGGCAATAATTGCAATCTCTTTCCGACATTTGAATAAACAGATAGAGAGGTTTAAAAAATCTAGAAAGTTGATCAATATAAAGATTGACTGAAGACGACAGGCAAGTGCTATAGATGAAACTATGAACAATGATGTGGGCGTCAATTCAAATAAATAATTATGTAATGTTTCACTTCGTCTAAACGTAACAAGGAAAGCATTATTGACAAAAGTCGACTCTATGCATTAAATTAAAAAAGACGTTTTGTTTTCTTTCTCTTTCTTGTAGCAAGACCAATAAATAGATTCTGCCACTGGAATTTATTTCATGTTCGCACCTTGAAGAGGTGTTTTCCGCTTTTTTGATAAAATACAAATAATGCCATTCATCCGCCTCGGCCAGAATGTTGAGATCGAAGAATATATTTTTCTTATATCTTTAACTATACACAAGTTATACAGATAGATTAGACAATACGCTATCTGACGTTGCGTAATATAGTCAGAAACTCGCTATAATTTACAGTGATCTGGGATTTCGATGGCAGAAGCATGAATAAATTCACCCTGTTTCGACTTATATCTCGCCAAACCCATTCAGTAACATCTAAACTCTCAGCTGTATACACCCGCTCTTTAAGATCAATGGTAAAAAGATTTTGAGAATAAAACCTGAGGGACTAGTTGTCCTTGTTTGAATATCACAACACGACCAATAACAGCAACTTTAGTGGATAGCGCATGTAACTGGAAGAGAAAATAATGACATAATTAAGATGTTGACTCCCACACTACTTCAAACAAAATGTTAGGAAGGAGACCACCATCGATACTGGAAAGAGCGTTAACAGCTATTAAACTTCAGAAACCTGTTTTCCGGAAAAATTTTTTGGAAAGAAATATTTTATAAATTCCAAACGAAAACAATACTGGCTGGTGGCCCAATTAATGGTAAATGTTTCCTTATAGGAAAACCGCTAACACTGCTCTTACCATTGCATAAAGAAATCCTTGTGAGTGTGTACCTTTTCATCCGACAGGTCCGTCCTGAACAATCTTGTATTAGAAAGAATTTGAAAAAAGTATATTGTCTCGTCAAAGATATTTTCTAAGCAAAGTGGCATTGTTTTCACGGCGAGTACAATTCACTAAGAACTTGTACCGTTTGTTGATAATTATCGTAATTCCCCGTATATAATACGCATTTTAAAAAAAATAAGCAAAATTAGGGGTGCATATTATGCACAGCTATAAAAAAAAATTCTCCATTTCAGTTGCGAAATGACTACTGACCAGAAATATTTGACACTAAAATTCGGCGATGCGACACCATGAGGATGTCAAATGCAATCACATGTACCCGACAATACTCACAAATGTAAAATAAAATAAGAATTATCATAAAATTAAATTAGAACCATTTTTTAATAAGAGTAGGAAACGCTGACCATAATGAAACTGGAGTGGTACAATCTATAGGGTTTGATTTCCAAAAATGAGTGAGCAGAACAATTTTCCCACACTTTCAGTACACATTTTTGGGTGCGTATTATGTATAAGGGCGCATTATACATGGGGAAATAATGTAGTTGATATATGCAACAGCTGTGTTTCCAAAACTAGCTGCCGTCCACGTGATCACAGACCATATCTCAAGCGACGCCATGATATTACTTCCTGAACCACGACATATTTGGGTAGGATATTAGAATAAAGCAGGGCCTATACTGGGAACAAACCGCCTACATACGGATAGAAAATGAAGTCAGTAAATATCTAAAAATAGAAATGTGCGTATGACATGGATGTGCCTTCTCGCCAGACTTATCTAATCTACACAGTGAGGCCATTCTGAGAGAATTAGAAGTCTTAGTATTAGAAGTCATACAAAGAAAAAGTCTAATATTACCATTACTGAATCGATTTATTTTCATTCTCTCTCTTTTACATTAGGGATTTTTATTTTTATTACAATTATTGACGATGGTAGTCTTGGAGAAAGCAGTTATATTTTTATTTTCCTGAAAAATCTGCAAAGGCACAGTTTGTGAGAAAGAGAAACCAAAATTTACCAATATTCTATTATTGGATATGTTTTTTGTCTGGTTTGAAATACCGAGAAGAAACTTTGCTATTAGAAGGCCAATTATAATTCTCATCTTTGCGGTGGTCCAACTGATTTGATAAAACACTGTCTGAAATTCAGGCGTAATTCAATATATTTTCGATCATAAAGGCGTATATTCGACAATAGAAAAAGTCAATCTGTCTTTCGATCTTTAAATTAGACACATTGATATAAATGTATATTTAGTTCTTCAAAAATATCGAGAATCAGAAATTAGTTACAAAGTTGAAATCAAAAAATATATATTGTGAAAGATGAGCTACTTCTCTGTCCGTCACACATTGTCTGCGGGTGACATTGGCTGCGCCAGTGTCATGTATATGTGTAACTATTGCTGGAGTTACACGTACATGTGCGATTTAATGTACACACAGATTCAGACATACACTGACACGCACAAAAGTTCATTACGTTTGAAATAAAACATTAAAATAATATGTAACTTTCGCTCTCAGTTTGAATAGCCCCTACTGGGAATGAACCACAGTTTTGTTGCCTCAAATCTTCTCTTCAAATGTGAGGAGATTGTCAAGCATCCACTGCCGTATAGAAGGGCAGATATCACGTAAAAATTCAACTCTCTTTTCTTCGTTTCTTCATTCTAAATCCAGATTATTCATGAAGAAATATGGTGTAACGTAATTTTTTAAAAATATTTTTCACCCTGTACGAGGCTCGAGCCACCCGAGGTATAGGGTTACAGATGAAGAGGCACAGATTATGGAGATATGTGGGGCAGATAACGGTTAACTTTATATATTAACAGGTTAAGATAGTAGTGATCAGGGAAGCATCCTCTTGTAAGTTGGTTTCCCAAAGTCGTTTCGTGGGAAGAAGCTGATCGAGGGGAACTTATATCTCTCTAATGGAGTATGAAAAGAATGAGATTCACAAATATGTCTGCGACAGATAGAAATGGTGGAACTAAGTAATGTATTTTTGTCTGAACACTTCATGGAAATAGAATAGCCAGAGGCTTGCCATATTTTGTCTGCGGGCAAGGGCCTGCAAATTGAGAAATATTTAATCACCCACAAGGTTTGCGGGGACGCCTTTCGACTTCATCGAAATTGGAATGTGAAGTCTAAGCAGCTCCAGCCGATATATGGTAGAAGTATTCCATTTTGGGGCTAACCATATTTCCTCATGTATAATACGCATTTTTTCTAAAAAAATAATAATCAAAATCATGAGTGCGTATTATGAACAGCTACAATAAAAAATTACCGTAAAAATAAAATAAGGATTATCATAAAACCAAATTAGAATAATATTATTCTATGTTTAAAACTATCTTTTTAAATAAGAGTAGGAAATTTGGCCGTAATGAAATTGGAGAGGTACAATTTATAGGGTTTGATTACCAAAAAATGCATGAGTAGATACATTTTCCTACACTTTCAGCACAATTTTAGGGGTGCGAATTATAGTTGAAGATTTATTATACATGGGGAATTACGGTAACATCTTTCTTGTAAAAGTACAAAAAAGTATGAGATGTCATGTACTTCATAGTGTGCAACACGGAACCAATCATTTTTCCAGCATCGTCAGCCAAGGATCGTATATAAAAGTTCTACGAAGTGTGAGCTGAGCAGAAATCCCAATAGGTGCTCAAGTTTCTCTGCTGACCGCGATCACTAAAAATTCGCTCGGTGATTATGGAAGATAACTGGTTTGGTTTTTGAGGCATTGAATATGACCAGCCTAATTTTCCGAAATGATTTGTCAGACCTAGGTCAGAAGGAAGACCATTTACCAGACTCTGACCATTTATAATTTTGGAGGGCCACCTATATACCGTTGTATTATCATCATGTAATATGTAAGGTAAATTCTCGGTATATTATATATTTAATTTCGCGCATGCGCTTTGTTTTTATTTCGTCGACTGCTCAATATATTAGGGTCATTTGAGTATCGTCTACGAGAAAAAGAGCATCATAACACAATTCACTCTGACAGAAATTTGGAAACGGCATGATGTACTGATTGGCATTCGCGTCGAAAGCTCAATACCAATAATTCAGAATCTTTTGATGTCAATCTGAGGAAATTGCAAAGGATTCGGAAAGAGTTGGATGAGTCTAATGGTGATTACGAAGGTACAGTAGCTCGGAAAACTCTGATTGTTCTGATAAGAAAAGAACTCACGGATTTATTGGTGAGGGCCCCAGACACAATCCGGTTGACCTTATCAATGCATTATGGAGATAGTGCAACCCTGGGTCAAGAGAGTGGTTGTTTGAAGATCAGATATCTGGCAACAGGGCCTTGCACCATGTCACAAACGTAGGAAAACGCAGTCATGGTTGTCAGACAATTTTTGCAACCGCATCACCCTTTAAACCCGTTCACTTAACGCTCCAGACTGTAATACATATGATTATTATGTATGGGGTATAGTTGAGGGAGAGACCAAAAAACTCTATGGTATATCAAAGATTAACTGAAAGCAAGGATTATTGCAGCATTCACGAAAACAAATAATGACAACGTCTTGATGAGTAGCTGGAGATCCGAAGTAGTCTTTAATATTTTTAGATATGTTTAATTTGCTTAATTTTGGTAATTATATAAGTTAAAATTAGATGTTAGAGTTATTTTAATTTTTCGTAATTTTGTACGACAATTTATCCATTGCACGCTGTATTTCTTAAAGTCAAGTGAAATTGAAAAGCCGAGGATCATTTATTTACGAAAAAAATATTTATTTCTACAAAGTTTATTTATTTATGAAAGTTTATTACAATCTTTACCGGTTCACATCGACGGTTAACAGTTACCTCAACATATTACCATAAACTCTGCCACATACCGCTAATCGGTAACGTTATATATTTAGTGGTCCTTGAACCCCGTACTGGGTTTTTCATGTTCGAAATGGCAAGCAAACAAAAAAAGATGTCTGTTTGTTCTCAGAAGTTGCTAATTAGATTCAACACAAGAAGCATATATGCCTATTGAATTGAACGAAATTTGTATAAAATGATTTCTACTCGATATATATATATATATATATATATATATATATATATATATATATATATATATATATATAGCATAATGAGAAGCCACGTATACTTTCTTAATATGTATATATAAAAAAACAACTAAAAAGTTTCAAATGTAAAAAAATAATAATGTTTTTTATGAAAGTATTTATTCATATTTTTTATATATATTTTATATTTATATATATATATGTATGTAGTTTTGATATTTCAGATCGACCTCGATCTTCAGAAATAACTGTTATTTCTGAAGATCGACGTCGATCTGAAATATCAAAACTACATATATAAATAAATAGGAAATATATATATATATAAAATATAAATAAATGCTTTCATAACAAAAACATTATTATTTTTAATTTTCATCTTTTAGTTGTTTTTTATATATATATATATATATATATATATATATATATATATATATATATATATATATATATATATATATAATCACTCGAATATATATAATCATTCGAACATATATATAATCATTCGAAAATTATAACATAAAAATGTTATAAAATCAGTACAAAAATAGTCATTTTGTTTCAAGAATTCTGTTGTCTTATGAAGTGAGAGTGCTGAATGTAAACTAAAGGGTTTTAACACTGGACGGGTGCTAAAAACAATTTGGCAGCAAAGAAAGTAGCAGAGACAGTCTTAGAAACTCAGTCACTCAAAATTTGATATTTTCTGTCAAGCCAAGGGGATTTTATAAAGATAGGACACAGAATAAGACCGAATTTGGGAGACATATTAAAAATATGTCTTCCGTTACATTGAACGATCAAAAATATTAACTGGAAAACTATTATTCATGAGAATAGAACGAATTCTTTTAAAACTTTTGCTGAAGTGTACAAGAGGAGCAATTAATAGGAGTCATTAATATATATATACGCTTTAAATAAAATAATTATCTCCTGAAAATGTGTGTTTTATAATCGTTTGGCAAGTTCAATATATTACAACGGTAGTTGAAGCGTATATACCATGTACACAAATACCAAACTTAACGAAAGTGGTGTGCGCAAATATATCCGGTAAAGATTAATCATTATTATTTGGGTAGAGAAAAATAAAAGAGCAGGCATAAAAAAAAGCCTTACAAGCGTATCGAAAAAGTGCTCTATATCCTGGGATAATGAAAGCCTCTGGAAAGAGGATTAATATTACTGAGAGAAAAATAATGCTCAACTATCTATTGATTGCGTGAAAATGTATAGTTTTGTTCCGCCACTGTTCTCTGATAATATGTTTAGAAACACACACACACACACATATATATATATATATATATATATATATATATATTTTGTATATTTTGGTAACATGATTTCATTAAGACATATCTCATTAAATAATTAAGTGAAGTATTGTCTACTTATTTTTAATTGGATAATCTCACAATTACGGTCAAGTTTCGCATTATCCTTATTGAAGAAAGAAATTCATCATATTTATCTGTAATCATTCCGAGTACTTTCATGATTAGCTTAATCTCGTAATGAGGGTCTTGTT